GATTTTGGCCCCCTGTGCAATTGAGTTTGACACCCCTGCTCTAGGCTGTTTGCCAGACAGGCTCAGCCTCAAAATATATCCACAAGAAAGAGTTGTTCTTTGCTACATACACATAAAAAGTTACCAGTTAAACTCCACATAGCTGGCAAACTCAAGAAGCAAAAACCACATTTCAGAAAGGCATCTTTAATCCTAGTCAGGGGTAAAATATAATTTTGAAAACTGTAACAGTTACCAGGCAAACATATGGCAAGCCAGTCAAGGCAGTCTCTTTGAAATTTTTCCTTTCCATGGCTCCCACTTCTTAGCTGTGTTGTCTCTTCTTGTACCCACTGAGCTCTTCCGTCCTCACATGCTGAAGCTTCCCACAGTCTCTCACAATACCCCAGCAGCATCTTCTATTCTGGGGATAGAAAATGTGAGTCCTCTGGAAAGACAAAAGCAGACCAGGATGAGAACATCTGAGGAACAAACTATGAACCAAGGCTGGTGAGCACGGGATTAGTATCGATCTATATAACTTCTAAATAAAGTTTGGATTTGGCAGGAATTGGGATAGTCCAGGAAAGTGAGACAAAAGGAACATCTCCTTTTAAAGGAATTCTAGTTCTGAAGTAATATGTAATGTCTAGCCAGAAGTCTGTATTAGGATTAATTTATTTTTCTGTGCTATGTAAACCTAATATTCTTATTTCTCTCTACAGAATTAGAAAACAGAACATGTAACCTCAGCCTTGCATCCCATCCTTCAGGCTGGGCAGAAAGATACTAATTTTAATACATTATCTTCTGGTAGTCTAATCTTAAACTGCAACATCTCCCATCTAACAAGGAGAAAGCTTAATCTGTAAGCAGACCATCGCCATTTTCTTGGCCTTCCCAGAACACTGAATTTCTTTTGTAATTTGAGGGGCTTTTATTTGTTATGCTTTCTTCTTCTTCTTCTTTTTTTAATCTCTTATGAAATTGGTCTGCCGTCCAAGGAGGAGAGGAAAGGTTGAAATCATACATATTTGTGCTACATGGCCAAGAGCATTTTCAAACATTTTTGAAACTGTTTCCCATGTTTTACCTTTTAAATATCAGAAATGTAGGACAAATTCTGAGAGCCCTATCTTCATATCTACATGGATCAGAAAAGGATGCTCATTTGGAAGATAGATGGGGTTAGAGTAGGAAGAACCAGATGGATTCTGGAAGAGAAAATTTAAGATCCTCCCAATCTTCCACTTATGAGCTTAGCTGGTTTTGCTACATAAGGTTTAGGGTCAAAAAACCCAAGAAACATTGTTGCAAATGCCAGGATTGCATTGCATCAATTTTTTATGGCTGTGGCTGGAGAGAGAAGATTTCTCCCCAAATTTAGCACAAGTCAAATGCATACTCCTCTAATTTGTCATAGCCATTATTCCCATAACAGTTGGGGCACTGCTGTTTCACACTTTTTATTCTCTTGGGGAATGGATTAATAAGTTAAGGTATTATCAAATATATGTCAACAAAATCAACAAATCAGGAAGTATATCACCAGAGCACTGCATAAGAAAAATGGTATAACAAATTATCAGAATGGTCACACTAAGTCTGAAATGCTTATTCTCTAGTTTTCCACTTTGATGCATATTAAATTATTATAACCATTAAGTTCAGTTTGCTATATTATGCAGTACAGTATATTGTACTGTGTGTTGTAGTATGGCAACAACATTTTATTAAATTGGAAATGAAAGCTAAGGAACCTGAATCAATCAGAATGGAGCTGGATCTCAGGAGAAATTCCTGATTCCTGAGTAAGACTTTGTTCTCAAAATACTTGGCTTTCATTGCCATTCTATTTGTCTCATTTGCTACTTACTAATGATACTGTACTATTCTTGCTTGGGGACTGTGGAATATCTTCACAATATCAGGAATCATTGTTCTAGATAAAGGCCTGCAGCAAAATGTATAAAGTGATATAGTCAGTAACAAAATCCCAAATTCTTAGCAAATGCTGAAAAGGCATATGATTTTTGCCCAATAGATAGCTTTCTTACTCCTTGTAAAACAGCACTGACGTGACATGAGTATGATATGACAGGTTGTAATAGGCAGTGACAGAAGGTTCCAGTAATGAAGAGAGAGTTTGCTTATTAACAAGAGTATGACATGCTTGGAAATTTATAATTATTTTTTTAGTAATGAACTATGATGTCTGCCTGTCCTATTGAATCACATTGGGTGTTGTTGGAAGATCAAAACACTCCAATTAATAAATAGTTGATGTAGGATGAAATTTTGCAGGATGCAGAATGCAATTTTAACTTTTACATACCACAGGATGTAATTTTAACTTATGAGCGCTTTTCTCATATGTAACGGAGTTGATCTGCAAGAACTTTCTCAGTTCTAACATCATGAATGGTGTTTCAGTCTGTGAATCAATTCAAAATTATCGGTATTAATGATACAGAGAAAAACAAATTTTAAAATGTATGATAAATTGGAAGCAAAATTTTAAAGAAATAGTCCCAATACAACAATGGAAAGAATTGTGGAATAAATCTATAAAATTTACCCCAAGCTACAATTTAATAGAAAACTGGTATAAAATGTTTTACAGATGTCATACAACTGTCAATACCAAAACTGACAACTCATACACTAATAAATGTTGGGAATGCCACAAGACAGAAGGAACATTCGACCACATGTGGTAGACATGCAACCCCCCCCCGCCAAAGTATTGGAAAGACATATACTGTACAGCACCCTTCAGAGGATCTTAAAAATCAAATTTGAAATGAAACCACAATTCTTTTTACTAGGTATAATTTCAGAACATATTAATAAAAAATATCACAATTTATTAAGATACATGCTCACAGCTGTGAGGACAACCTTTGAACAACATTGGAAAAAAGTACCAACAATATCCGATTGGGTACTTAAACTTGAAGAATACACAGCAATGGCAAAATTAACAGCATATACAGTATACATAATAAGTTTAACTAAATTTAAGCAAGGATGTCTTCCATATATACTTGATATCACGCAGCTAAGCCAGTATAAACATTTAGAGTAGGGTTTCTAAAGTTCATATTAAAAAATACTGTAAATCGGCTGGAGCACAATGAAGGGGTAAGTCAGCTACTGAATACTTATCTATACTATTTTTAGTAGTAGTAGTTTCTTTCTTTTTCTTCTTTTGTAGCATTTATAAATAATAATATAGTGGAGATTTTGGCACTAAGCTCAAAGATTTATACTTCTTTATGTCATAAAAACAATTGTACTTTTTTGTAATAGTTCATATTTTATTAATGTTATACTGAGTATTAATTGCATAAATTCAGCAATTTTCCTTGCCACTTACTATATCTTTATTTTAAATAAATAAATTAGAAAATATCAGTGTTAGTTACAAGAAAATCCATGATTTTTTTTTCACAAATGCTGTGATTTGCAGTCCTACCCATGCCAATTTATGTTGATGCCTTGTAAATCTTTAAATAATATAGAATGTGTCCAAAGTCCCCCATAATGTCAGAGATATTCGTTCTAGAGAAATTCCTCCAATGAAAATTACTGTATAGTGTCTTAGAGCAGAGCAGGCAATCTTTTTCATGTTGAGGGTCAGATTCCAACTTGTTTAACATGCCACGAGCCAACCTCCATAAAATTGAACAAAGCCATGATGAAATGTACTGGGGGAAAAAAGATTCCTTGTCCTTTTCCTGTTTCCATTCTAGTGGATTAATGATATCAATAAAATAGCAATCATAATTAAATTGGATCACAGAATTGTACAGTTAGAAGGGACCACAACAATCCTTTGCAATGTAGAAGGAAACCAATTAAACTATCCTTAAGAAGTGGTTGTCCACCCTTTTCTTAAAAACCTCTACAGAACTCAAACTTCCATAAGTAGATTGTTCCATCATTCTGAACCTACTGTCAAGATTTTTTTCCTTACATTTCAATGAAATGTAGGTAACTGCAACTTACACCCATTATTTCTGGTCCTAGTTTTGTGGCCATAGAAAACAGTTCTTGATCACGTTCTGTAGAGCTGTCATCTATCTCCTCATTCAATATTTAATAATACTAGCCCCAAGACCGATTCCTGTGAAACCCCACCCTCCAGCTCAATGCACAGCCATTAATACTGACTCTCTAAGTGCCACTTGCCAGGCAGCTGTAGCACTCATGTTATTGTATGCCATCCAAACCACATGCTGTGGATATATGGTAGATTATATCCACAGGATTGCCCTTGAACACTAGAGTAGTTACAAATATGTAACTTCTAATAACAAGGTAAAATAAAAACAAAAATATCCCCACAAAAGCAATTATTGTCAATAAATATGCTAATTATCTGATTGAAAAACCATTCCTACATTTTGGTTTGCCTTTACTAGAACCAAACTTTGTTCTCTTCCCCCTGCCTTATTAACAGGTTGTTTCACAATACAGTATATCATACGGTAGCCACGCTTGCCCTATGGAATGAAATTGCTGATTTATTTAAATATGTGGGATTTTCAGCACTTTCTACCATGAGAAGTTATTAAGATTCAGTAAATTTCTCATCCAATTTCCCAGGTTTCTTGACTTGAATTTTTGCACTAGCAGATGTCACATTAAGATAACTTAACAGTCACTAAATCGTTTAGCCCAGTTATTCGGATTTATAAACAGATGACTTATTTAATTTGCTTTAGATGTACCTACATTAACTTTTATTGCTGTCCTGTACAGTATTGCTGTTATGACTGTGTTTTATTCCTGTTTATTCCTTACAGCTTTCAGATGTTTTTAGTTTTATTGCTTCATTTCTAATCCCATCATTTTTGTATAGCTTTAACATTTTTATATTCTGATTTGTTGAAAAAAAAAAGGCATTTGGCCTCCTTTGTATTTTAACGGCTCTTTGACTACATAATAAAGTTGTTATTGTTATAAGTCGCTTACGTCTTTAAGGCAATAACGAGGAAATGGAGAAGGAAGTTATAAAGCGGAACACTACAAACTTTCTTTAATGCTCTTTTTTCTTTTCTGGAGCACGGATGCGTCGTGGCCCGTTACGCGTACTTCGCACCGCGATTAAGTACGCATCGCTATTTTATTATAGGTTTTCTTGTCCGATTTCGAACTTGATGTTCGTTCTGCACTTTCTTTCGCTACAGCAAGAAAAGAAGGCGGGAGGAATGTGGGCGGAACCTCAAGGCGGAATCGCCCAATCAGAAAAAGACCTTGCGTGCCTGATAGACTACTTTGTATTAGTGTCTGAGAAAGAGAAAGGGTTATTCTTATGTCTGTCGCGCGGGAGGGAGGTTCGGAAAAAGTGGGAGGGTTTTGGCTGCGGCGCTCGAGGGTTGTGTTTGTTTCTGTGAGCTGCTTGTGAGGGGGAGGAGAAGGTTGAGGTAGTGGGATTTGGACGGGACAATGGCGGCGCTAGCGGTCTCCCTTCGGAGGTGGTTACAGGCCTTCCTTGCAAGTTTTTGCTGTTCGGTTACTTTGACGACGACAGCTGCAGCTGGATTGCTTCTTTTCCTTCTCCCTGAAGCAGCAACGGGTGAGTTGCATATAATACAGCGGGCCAGGCTGGGAGGAACTAGGCCCGTCCGGTCTGTTCCCCTTTAAGGAACATGGCGCTTCTGCAGCCTCCCAGGACGAAGAACGCTGGGGAATAGAGTGTTACGAGACGATTGAAAGGGACTGCGGGTTTAATGGACAAGGAACCGCTACAGCGGCGGTCTGGACAATGGCTGCTCAAAGCAATTAGCGCGGCTTTCTTTAAGCATAATTGTAGCGGATGGTGTAATATAGTCGGAGGACTTCTTCGCTCAATCACAAAGGTTTATTCCACTCTGCCCGAAGTAGGCAAGCAAACAAAAGGCCATCCCATCGACAGGAGCTCGCTCTTTCCCTGTTTCCTTTGAAAATGAGTTCCATAAAAATGAAAAGTAGAGTATTTCCATTTTCTAGAACATGAGCGTAATATTCCATATCAGTGTTTTGTGTTTGTGCAGTTCAGCATGGAACATTGCCGTTAATCTTCATAGAAACTACGTATTAATCTGGAATGAATCCTGTGCAGGCAAGGGGAGCCCCGAATTATTCCCTGTATCTTCCCCTTCTCTCAGTCCTATAGGGCAGATGGTATTTGTTGGTTAACGTAGACGTACTTCCTATCTGAGGACTGAAGGTGGAAACTATAGAGTCTAAGAAGGATTTTGATCTCTTTATCGATCCACTGTCAAAGTTGTTAGATCTCTGGCACTAAACGTTGTGTTCACTTCTCCTTGCAATGTTTGATACATTTCTTCAAGGTACTACAAAAATTAGTGTTGCCTGTAATCTACCGGCATTTGGATAATTTATATTAGTCCCCAAAAAGTTTTGATACTTGGCAATTTAATAATTGGGAAATCTATCAATTCTTCATACATTGTTGCTAATGCAGAAAGCTTGCAAGATAGCATTTAGTATCTTTTACTTTATTAGGCAGTGGGAGGTTTATTTTTAAAAGTTTTTACATGAAATGAATGAGCCTCAAGTAAAAGTGTTTGGTGTATTAATGTTGAGATAGTATACTTAAATTGTACTAATTTAGTATAATTAATATACTTATTATATTAGTAATGTTGAGAACTGCATTCTAATTATATGGTATCTTCTTAAAGAAGAGTAAGTGTCATGTAGAACTCAGTCCTTTTACACATCGTACGTAACTATATTTGAAGATGGATGAGAACTTGCCTAAATCTTGATCTTGCTCACATGCTCTTCAACTTTTCTCATTTTTATGTTACCTACACAAACCTAATATAAAATCACTGTTCCTATATATCTATGTAATGCACCTCCAAATCAGTTGTAGTGATCTGTGGTATGAAAATCTGTAGTCTGTGGTATAAGAATTGTAACTTTTACAATAAGCGTTTTAAATCCACTTGGATGCCAGCTTCTTAGGAAAAATTATATTGTAAAAATTGTGATTCATCTGCTCAAAGTATCACATATAAAAAGCTAAATTTGAAACATGGAATTTCTTCAAATCTGCATAATTTTAATAATTGTCACAAATATCTGCCAGATGTCATAGTTCATAACTATCTCTTGAACTTCTGTTGCAATGGTAACAAAATTTTAGGCTTCAAGAATGGATATCATAATATTGTCAAGGAAATATATTTTAATTCTCCATGAAGTTATCTCACATGTTTAGCTAGGAACTGCAGCATGAAAACTACAATTTGTGACAGGTTTAAGCAAAGGTACACTGTGGTACCTGTGGTATTAAAAATCTACATTCTTGTTTTAAGTAGCAGTGGTTCTGGGACCTAGATCACTAATATAAAAATAGTATTCATTCGTAAATTTGGCTGCTTCTGATAAAAACATTCCTGAAGTCTGTGAGGGTGATCTGGCTGTGATATCTGTCACCCCATTGATTGCCAAGGTTGATATGGCTAGGTGGGTGTTGCTTTCCTCTCTCACTGCTCCATGTACATGCCTCCCAAAGCTGTTTGCTCATTGAAAGAGAACGACCATCCCAGACTGAAGCACTGTAATGTACCATTCTTAGCTCAAGGGTATACAATTGCTGTGCTCCCCTGGTAAACAAAATCCTTGAATATTTTGAATTGAAAAATTTTCCCAAAATAATTTCAGTGCAAACATTCTGAGAAGATGTTCAAAATAGCACTTTCAAAATCTGTTCAGGTGACATTGTTAAGTATCTAATATAATTTTAAACAGTATACATTTATAAAAATCAGTACAATACATAATTATTTCTGATTAAATCTTTTAACATCATTTTTGCTCTATCATATTCAGGTTAATGGCACACATATTTCTCTTGCATGTGTGCTGGGGTAATTGCCTGATAAACACTAATTAAACTTGGATGTTAAGTTTGCCTAATACAAATTTTGAGACTGTAATAAGCATGGTATAGAAAAAATTTCCATGGAAAGCAATCTAGTTTACAGCATTGTTTACTTCATCATAAGCATATCTGATTGCTTCATTGAATTGCTGTAATCCATAAAAATATAGATCCACGCTATGAATGTTCATAAAACCTATGAAATTTATTGACAAGACATAAAAATCCACTAATCATGGTCACATACTCTCAAATTCCACTGTAAAAATAATAGATCTGGCTACTTATGCTTTTTAACATAGACACTTTGAATATATTCTCCTAAAATACATCTGCAAATGCTTCAAGTCAGTTGTAGAGTACATTCATGATTATATGGTTTAAGAAAATGATAATAGTTCCTAGAGTTGCAAGAATCTGGGTCTGAATCACAGGTGTCATATACATTCTCTTGCAAACCAAACTCTGAAATCAAACAATTTATATATATATAGCCACCCATCTCAGAGATTCATGATTCTCAGCGGTGTACAATAAAAAGCAATCATAAAAAACTAACAAAATTCAGCAATTAAATCACCAATTAAAATTACCAATAATGGAATAGCAGAGACAGTTATTGTTAGGGGCAATGCAACCATCTCACTAATTCACCACCTCCTTGAGATCCCCAAGCCTGTTGGCACAACCATGTTTTAAGAGACTTCCTGCAGGATATCAGGGATGGGGCCAATCTCACCTTGTGGGGGGGAATGATATTCCACAGGGTGGGTGCTATGGCAGAAAAGGTGTCTCCTGGGTCCTACCAGATGTAACTCCTTAGCGGATGGGACCCACAGAATACCTCTTCTGCTGGACCTAATGGAATGGGCAGATGTAATTGGGTAGAGGCAGTCCCTCAAATAACCCAGTCCTATGCCATGAAGAACTTTAAAGGTCAAAACCAGCACCTTGAATTGCACCTGGAAGCAAATTGGCAACCAATGCAGCTTGTGGATCAGAGTGTGTGTCATTCTAGAGGCACACATAACTGCCTGTGCTGCCACGTTTTGTACCAGCTGAAGCTTCCAAATACTCTTTAAGGGGAGCCCTATGTACAGCACATTGCAGTAGTCTATCCGGGAGGTAACCAGGGCATAAGTGACTGTGACCAGAGCCTCTCAGTCCAGGAACAGGTGCAACTGGTACACAATACCAAGCTGTGCAAAGGCCCTCCTAGCCATGACTGCTACCTACTTAATCATGGTAGGTTTGTTTTCCATAATTATTTTGTTATTGCTGTTATCAGTATTACCTTGATTACAGCTCCCTATTTCCTTTTATATGGGATTTTAACTATTTTATACACTAGTAGAGAAAGTTTAGAAGCATAATCAATTGATAGGCACTTTATAACTCTGTAAGAGGATTACTGGCTGACAGGTTTCTAGATGGTCAGGAGGTTAGATCTGCTTTTTTCTACTCATAAGTAATTACCAGCCTGATACCTTGGAATATTTGCAGGAATAAGAGTTAGTAAAAGGAGGAATTTAAAGTGAGCTCTAGGTGATCTTGATATGTAAATCAGGCAGCTGCAACCATTCATATTTGGAACACAGACTGCTGGATGCTAAGGAAGTGATAGGGACACCATAACACCTGCTTTCCCATACCAGCCTGCTACCTTGGAATAGCTATAATCAGTAAGAGCTGGCTATCTTATTTAGATTGCCGGGCCAGAGATACATAAATCAGGCGGCATGGTGCTACTGGGACTCCAGCTCCAAAAATATAGTACCAAAAGACATTATCCCCTTTTGGGTTGGCATAGGAAGTTCTGCTGTTGCATTTCAAAGTGAGAAGTTGAAACAGTAAAACAGAGTAGGGAGCAGTTCAGCTTGTCTCCTAGAAAGAGTTAAAATATCGATTTGATTTTATACCACTTATCCCTTCTTCCCACAGGATTATTAAAATGATCTGCCCTTGGAGACTTAGGGAATTCAGTTAAATGTTCTGGGGGGATTTTCTTGTAGCTAGAGCTGGTGATCCTTCAAATGATAATTGATGTTGGTGATACTGTGAAATGATAAGATGTGATGAGTATCAACATAAATGCTCCTGAATATACTCTCCAATTTGTGGAGGATAAGTTGGTCCCTGCTTTGGGGGTGAGTGCCAGATAATGAAGCAGATCAGACAATGGCTAGAGTACTTGTGCTGAAAGAATTATTGTCAGGCTGAACAGGCATGTGTTAAAGCACATAACTGTACCTGCTATGTGGAAGTGAGGGCAACAAAGCAAGCTTCTTTTGCAGCCTCCATTACACTTTTAAGTAGCCAACCACCAGAACTTTTTAAAATTCTACCAGGATTACCATCATCTACTCTGAAAAACATCTACTCTTTTACAACCTTCAGAGGTTGTGATGAAATTGTAGGGGGCTCTGAGGATAAAATACTGTAACTCATATTCATAAGAATCTAAACATAGCATTGGCATCAACCCAAATGAAGTGTTCTGTGTATTGCCCTGTCCAGTTTTGTAGGATAATTTTCAGTTTATATGGCCTGAGTATGTGGACAGATTTGTAGCAGTTTGTCTTGCCATCCTTGTCCAGCATTGCTAAACCAGGCTACCTGAGAGAGAGTGACTGGACAACTCTAAGAACCAGTAAATGTATTGTTACAGGATGATCACT